CGAAAGTCCCCGTCGCGACCTTGGACGAGAGAGGTTCCTTTTCGACGAATTGGCAACGCCGAACGTTGGTTTGAGACGAAACCGGCCGGCTCGCCCGCCACGGTCGCCGGTTAAAAAGGGTGAGCGGGCCGGGTGAGCGGGTGGCGGGGCGGAACGGGCGAGCGATTTTAAGCGAACGCCGTCGCTAACACTCCAGCTGGTATGTCGCTGCCCGTGGGTTCCCAGGCGGCATCCCCCTGAACTCTAACTGTAGTTAAGTCCCCCACTCCCTCCCCTACTACACAACTCCAGCCTCATGAACCATCATTGCATTGCCGGAAACAATACATGACGGCCACGCCCAGACCAGCCGCTCATTCGGAAACCGCCGAGACAATGACATCTCACCCCAAAACGCCCCACCACCTACCGGCCAACTTTCTCTCCTCTTACCCCACCCCTGCCAGTATAGTCGCATGGAGAATTAGTTTATTGGGCTGTACCACATCCCACCCAAAAAGGGGGGTGGGTAGGGAAAGGGTTCACCCAGGAGGTGGGAGGGGGGAGAGTGTAGGGGTTCAACCCATGTGGTTGCCAGCAGGTTTGTGATGTGCAACTTGCAGTATGCCACCCCCTGCGTTTTGAATGGTACGAGACTAATCACTTTCAGGTGGGTTGCCCGGCAACCAGGTGGACCGGGTACCCCGGCAACTAACACTGTTGCCCTGGAAATATTTACAATTGCCTGGCAACCAAATTCAACAGTTGCCTGGCAGTCAGGCGCGTGTAGTAGCTCGCAGTAGTTTGATTTTATTGATGATTTTTTTTTATGATTATAAAAGTGTCTTCAGTGTTGTCGTCGTCTTGTGTTTCCCCTCCCGTGTTCTTATAGTGCAGCCGCTCCCGCCCCCCTCCCCCCCCTCCCGCGTGATGGGGGGCAGGGGAGGGGGGGGCAAGGTGGGGAGAGAGAGGAGAGGGGGGGGGCCTTTTGTCAACTGCAATAAGAGGCGGCTTTTTTGCAAAGGTGTGCGCAGGTGTGTACACGTGTGTACAGTGACGCGATTCACCCCCAACGGTTTTACAATAAACGATGACCCCCGTTCCCTAACGCCAACGCCTCTGCCGTGTGTTCACTCGCTCGCTGCGCCAACGGAACCAGACCGGCGTTTCTACCGGGCAGAAATTGAACAACAACAAAAAAAACGAGAGGTTTGTGGCCAGATCTGGGGTTGCGTGGTCGACTACAGGGAGAGCACAGCCGAGCCGGACTTGCGCAATGGCCTCTGGTGCTTGTGCCAGGCTAGGTGCACTCTACGTCCGTAGGAATCGTTCCAAGGCTCCCGCTGCCAGCAGGAGGTGACGCGACAGGCCTAGGTGCCATGGGATGACCGACTGAGATGACCGGCAGATTCACCACCTGGGTGCTCCCCAACCCTGGTAAATTGTATGGGGCAAGTGCTGTTTGTGAGTAGCACCTATAAAGGCCAGCACCACGCCTCCTTAGCCGCCTTTGTCTTCCCAGTGGCGATGTTTACACACCGCACCAGGTATTCATTGGAAGCCGCATCAAAACGGTCTTGAAACGACGTCCAGTCACCGCCAGCTGCGATGGACGCACAAGCCGCATCCGACGAAGTTTGGACGAGCCGGAGGTGAAAACTGGCATGGGCGCTCCCGAAGACGCGCTCGGTGGCATCGCTGCAACAAAATGGCGCCCGGGTGCTGTGTTGCGGTCAAAATGGCGCCCGGGGGCAAGATGGCGGCTGGAAGCTGCGGCGCGTCTGTTGGAAAATGGCGCCAAGTTCAAGCGTGGCGGGAGGAGAGATGGCGGGAACCGCCCGATCCCGCTCCAAACAAGTGGTGTGTGTGCACGCGGCTGGGCTCCCACCTCGGACATCGTCGTGACGAGACGTGTGGCCGACTGCAGCAGCTGTCCAAACTGGCAAGTTGAGGTGCAGCTTGTTTTCTGGGACAAGAAAGCTGCGCCTACAGTGACGTCACTGCCACTTAGTGGAAAATGGCGGTTGTTGTTGTTGTGTGTGAGCGCGTGTGTGTGAGCGCATGTGTGTGTGTGTGCCTGTGAGTGTGTGTGAGCGTTACAAATGTATGTTTCGACACTTCACGTGGCCTCAAGGTGCACATGGCCTGGCACAAGCGTCGTGGTGACGTCACCGTCACTTAGTGGCGAATGGCGGTTGTTGTTGTGTGAGCGCGTGTCTGTGAGCGCACGTGTGTGTGAGTGTGTGTGAGGCTGTGAGTGTGTGAGCCTGTGTGTGTGAGCGCATGCGTGTGTGCCTGTGAGTGTGTGTGTTCCTGTGAGTGTGTGTGAGCGCGTGTGTGTGAGCGCATGTGTGTGTGCCTGTGAGTGTGTGTGCCTGTGTGTGTGAGCGCATGTGTGTGTGCCTGTATGTGTGTGTGATCGCATGTGTGTGTGCCTGTGAGTGTGTGCGAGCGTTACAAATGTATGTTTCGACACTTCACGTGGTGGCCTCAAGGTGCACATGGCCTGGCACAAGCGTCGTGGTGACGTCACCGCCACTTAGTGGCGAATGGCGGTTGTTGTTGTGTGAGCGCATGTGTGTGAGCGCACGTGTGTGTGAGTGTGTGTGAGCCTGTGAGTGTGTGAGCCTGTGTGTGTGAGTGCATGTGTGTGTGCCTATGAGTGTGTGTGTGCCTGTGAGTGTGTGTGAGCGCGTGTGTGTGAGCGCATGTGTGTGTGCCTGTATGTGTGTGTGATCGCATGTGTGTGTGTGCCTGTGAGCAGTGGCGGCTCCTGCAAAATCTCTCAGGGAGGGCAAATGTCTGGATGATTGATAAGGATAAGGTCCACCCATGCAATGAATAAATTAACAGCTTAAGCATGTAAAGGCAACTTCACTTCTTTAATATTAATGAAAAATAAAGTGACTCTTACAATACATCTTGTTTGTTTATATACTCACTATTAAAACAAACCACTCAAGTTTATTTTATTAAAGATTCCACTAGGTAGCGATAAATTATATTGCTGGATGAAACGTGCTTGCGTATGATGACGTAAGCACGTATGATGACGTAAGCACGTTAGGGCGAGCCCTCCCGGAAGCCATAGAGAATGCATTGCAGCGCCCCCGTTCGAAAAAAAACATCTTTGAATGTAAGTCTATGGGACCACTCGGGGCGATTCTCAGCCGTAGTGAAATCGCCCCAAAAGAGGCGGTACTCCACAGAACGTGACATGACGCTGATTGGACTATATCCAGAGGCTGACAGTGACGGCTAGCGTGACTCTGTGGTTGAATGACATTGGTGGTGCGTCGCCCAATCGCCCTAATGAAGAAACCGCCCCTGCCTATGAGTGTGTGTGAGCGTTACAAATGTATGTTTCGACACTTCACGTGGTAGCCTCAAGGTGCAGCCCCCTCCTCCTGCATGAGATGGCTGGGCTCCACGGGGCGTTGTCCGAGCTCTCGACAGGTGAGTTCCTACGCCTCGTGGCCGACTTTGACATGGCGACGAGGGTTTGTGGTTACTTCTGACACCAGTCGTTGTGATGTAGAACCACTCGGAGACGGGACTTCATGTAAGGGCTTACGCCGTTTATGAAACACTGTTAATACTCACACTCTAAACTCACACCAGAGGTAGGTGTTCTCTACACTTGCTCCTTCCCATGGACCCCCCCCGAGCTCTACTCGTCCGAACCTCGGCTATCTCTGTGGCTTCTCTCACTCTTCTTCTTGGTTCTTTCGGTAAAGTCATCACGTAGAATTGAAATAATAAAATAATAAAAATAAACCAATAAAATAATTCTCGCGACGTTTCGGCCACAACGCAAGCAACCGTCCTCAGGTGAAGAACAGGTCTGTCAGAAAGACAGTGTCTGAATGAACACCACCAGGCTTGGCAGCGTATATTTAAGCTGGGTTGGAGGGGGAAGAGCGCCTTGACAAAGGAATTTGCTCTTCCCCCTCCAACCCAGCTTAAATATACGCTGCCAAGCCTGGTGGTGTTCATTCAGACGCTGTCTTTCCGACAGACCTGTTCTCCACCTGAGGACGGCTGCTTGCGTTGTGGCCGAAACGTCGTAAAAATTATTTTATTGTTTTATTTTTATTATTTTATTATTTCAATTCTACGTGATGACTTTATCGAAAGAACCAAGAAGATGAATCCCTGCAGTCACGAAAGAAGCTTTAAATCGAAATTCTCTCACTCTGACCGGGATGGCGGCTCATCCAACACGGTCTGGCCGAGGAGAGAAGACTCCCACTCACTATCAGCCGCCTCTCACAGCCTGCTTCGAGCTCCACTCTCGGCCATCTCTTCGAGACCTCTTCCAGCCGACTAAAGTTTCAACAATGAACTTCTCAACTGTATATTGCCAAATGGGCAGCAGGTTTCTAGACAGTGGCTACTGCACTCACCCTCAACAGGTTGTGTGTCCACTGTTTTGCATTAAAACTGTTCTCCGGCAGGCTCGGCGGATTTAGTTGTGGGTTCCGTGGCTGGAAGCACTCTGAAAGAATAGGGGACCACGAAAAGAGTACAGAACACAGATCATGCACAAGTGTAATGACAGGGTGCTGCCTGCCAGCCAGCCAGGAGGGGTAATCATGGTGATGGGCACGTTACATAATAACCAACCAGAAGGGGGCGTGTCTGGGTTAAAGGTCAAAGCGGGGTCAGTCAGGAAGCTCCGGGAACTTGCTCGAAGGCTCTAGAAGGGGGGGGGGGGGCCTGGCCACGCCGGGGAGTGTATAGGGGGGACATAACCGAAGGTTCGGGCCTGTTGCGAAGACACAGGCGTGGATCGCCGGAAGCGACGCCTGCTACTGAAAATGGTGAAAAAGGAACTGAACGAACCCCCCGATTACCTCCTGTCAGGGAAAAAAAAGGCACGGCACGCATTTCTGTCCAGTTATCAATGTCCGTGTAACTGCTGCTGCTGCTGCTCACGACACCAAGATCTGTTGTGCCAGTGCAGTACAGGACGATACTTCCGCCCGTGACGTCCGTGTGTGCGCAGGTCTCTTCACATTTTACTTCGACTTCAGCGGTTGCTCCTCGGGCGTGGCCAGCGATCCGGCGCCGTAGCCCATCGTCGCTTTATTGTTAAATCCAAGCTTGTCGATTTCCTCCAGCTCGATTTTGTGTGTTGACATTTTTCCCATAAGGCATACATTTTTCTCGAGCCGCTTGTTGTTCTGACCGCCACCACCGCCGCCACCGCCACCGATTGGGTTGCGGATTACGACCTTGTCGAGCGGCTCCGTGACCTTGTCCTTGTTGTTCACCTTGTCGAGGTGAGGTGACCGGCGGTTTCGTATCCTCCGCATGCAGCACAGGCAGAGGAGCAGCGTGGCCAGCAGCAGCAGGAAGCCCAGCGCACCACTCACGGTGAACACCATTCTGTCTGCTGGCAGAGGGTCGGGCGGGAGAGCCGGTGTTTGTTTGGTGAGCATTTGCGATGTTAGTCATAGTCTGGGTGCCGAGTATCTGTGGAACTTGAGTCAAGTCTGAGGATGTTATCTGGTTATTCTCTTAGTCAACGTAATCAGTCAGACATTTGAGTACAACACTCTTGGTTATTAAATGTCAGTAGTGCAACTGGCCACCAAATTGCCCCAAATATAATCAGGTCAGCCAATTGTAATTGTTATCGGGTGAGCCAATGTACATTTATAGAGCCAATGGCTCATTTTGGTCTTCCTCAAGTGCACTGTTGTCTCTAACGACAAGATGAACGATCTTAGTTGACATCTTAATTCAGACCAGTGGATTTTCATCTCTTCATAGTCGGTCACGATTTGGCGTTTGGTACGCAGCAGTCAGAGTTACGGCCACGCTCGGCGACTTTCGTCCACTGACATTCATCGTTGGCCAATAAGTATAAAAAAATCTCTCCGTTGACGAATATTTGTGTCGCGAGTTTCATCGACAGCAGCAGCGCCGTGTACATGCCTGACGGCGTATTAATATCGAGGTGAACATTACGCAGCGAGTTGACGAACACGGCACGCCCGCTCTGATGAGTGAAACTGCAATCTTTGTTCACAAGAGGAATACAACGATTATTGCTGCCGGCTTACAACAGAAGAGGCATCTCATCATCATCATCATCGTGATCATCGTTGTCATGTACACTTACTAGGAAATTTGTGTTGTGTGTTATCACTCGTGCTATTCACGTGAAACGTGACCAGCCTCGCAACTGCATTACAACGCAGCACGACTCAGATCCAAACATTTTGTGAGTCAAATATAGACGGCGCTGACTAACGTCTGTAATTAGTATCAGACCTTTCTATATCATCCAGCGATGGTTCAATGAGGCATGATACTTTTTTTCCAGGAGCGTCTTGTGTTGAAATCTGTGGCCAATTAATTTTTTTATGATTATTTTGCACGAGTGCAATAAAAACGGCCCAGGACTATGCCCATGGTCAAATAAACATGCGATTGCAATGCATTCATAATCAACGTTGTTGGGTTTAGATCGCGTTATTTATAAATGTGTCGTAACCCTCCACCACCCGACACGGCCAATCAGTAAAAAAGTGTCACGTTGACAAAAGACAAATAGTTCACTGCTTTAGCCCACCGGTGTGTTGAAGCCACAACATTTACAATTTGAGTACGACGTTTCGCTGGTAATTGCATCCAGCATAATCGGGCAATTCGCCAGAAAGCCTACGTGTTAAACTGATTGCAATGCAGCTTGAAAATCATTCGGTAGTTTTTGGTGACGTGGAAAAAAGTAACAAGTGCAGAGTTGTACCCTGCCGCTGTGCAGGGCATGACGGAGTGTCCCACATTCCGGTCCGTCTTTTCACGCCGAATAATCTTCTCCTTCAAATTAAGTAATTGCACGGTGCAAAAGAAGTTCAACAAACGTGCATGCTGCACACGCCCGATGGTTGGTAAACACACACAAGTGAACGAGGGAACGAGGGAACGAGGGAGAGTGCCGATTCAAATGTAGAGCCTTCTCTACACCACGCGGGAGAAACACGCGCACACACAAAACAAGATCTGTAACTAATTTGATTGGCACGCTCTGCCCTATTGGGACACATTCAGCAATCATCAGGTGCGTAACGTGTGCGTAAGACTGTAACATTATGGATGATTGTTGCCCAATAAGGAAAGGTGGACACTGGCAGGTCGTGAGTGAGGGAATTCAGTTTTGGGATCCTGATGCATATGTAATGTGAGAGTATATCCGAGTGGTTGATTGATCACACCTCGTTACGATGATTGGCTCTACCGGTCCTGGCCCATAGCCAATGGGGGAGAAGTCTAGGGGCGTGGCCCTGACGTCATGGGAAGGTGACATCTGCGAGTAGGGGATTGGCCCTGCTGGCTTTAGCCACAGCCAATGGGGGGACGAGTCAGGGGCATGGTCCTGGGATACTACGATGGAGTCTGGAAGATTCCATGGAGGTTAACCAGGACTGGTGGAAAGGCACCACGTGACCCGGGTATTAAAAGGGGGGGAGACGGACAACACGTGGTCAGATCTGGAACGAACGGAGGGTGAGGCCACGCCGGAGCGGGGTCCAGGCTGCCACGTGGCCGCGCGAGTATCTCCCTCTCACGCCGTCTGTGAGCAGCGTGAAGGAGTAGGACAGGAGTGGAACCTATCTGAAGAGTGTTGTAAACGAAAAACAAATAAAGACCCCGATTCCAGAAGTCGCTTCCACGACCTTTATTACACATACGTAGTGGGTTGTATGGAGTCTTCTTAGGAGGCAACACGTATTTATTAAACGATTAACACAGAAGGTCCCCAACACGAAGGGGTAATGGCCCCCTTCTACCCAACAACCTAAGGAGGTACCACGGCCTCCGGGCTCACGTGCCCTCGCCACTGGGACCACCCACTCTCAGCCCTGCGGCTAGCGGGACCTAGGGGAGGCAGACCCGACCCAGCCAAGGTCCTCGGGTCTCGACCGCTGGTCCACTCAGACACGGCCCTGAGAAGGACGTCGGGTCCGGGAATCTTCAGGGTCCCAGCCTACTGACCGCTGGCCTCACTGAGCTCCGGCCCACTGGCTCAAAACTGCCAAGAGAGATTGGTACTGGCCAGTGCTCCATTTGAGTGCTGGGACACTGCGACCATCAGACGTAGTTGTACAAGAAGTCACTAAGTCTGTGGCAGACATGAAGAATTAAAAAAGCTATGGGTTTGCTTCTCACTGCTAAAGGTCCGTGCATGTGCACGCTCTCTTGTGCAAGATGACAAACAAGGCACAATTAGCATTCTCGTTCACCGTTAAAGTTTTTTTATCTTTCCTTTTTTTTATAATTTGGGGGCGAATTGTGTCCCGCTTGTTGCATTAAGCGTCTCGACTTTCGGTTGCGTTTAGACGCTGCAAAACATACAAATCGTATCACGGAGAGCGGCACGTTGAGAGAACGTGCGCAGGATGTAAAGGTGCGGCCGTGTAATGGCCTCCTTACGTCACTGCCGGCGGAAAGACGGCCACTACAGCAGCAAACACGTTCGTCTTCAGTTCCGCACGTACCGCGGCGCACCAAACTATCCACGATTGTGTGGGCACACAAGGCTCCACGAGCATCGATTTGAAACATTAAATAAATGACATCGATGGGCTCTTAGCCCTTCAGAAAATTAAGAGCAGAAACTCGGGTATGGAGGCGACGATTGCGGCTGGGGAAACGACGACTTACCCTGGCAGGGCGAGGTGAGGCAATGGTCCTTCAGCAGGGTGCAATTTGTTCCTTCAAAGTTCTCCGAGCAGTGGCAGAAGTAGTCGCCCGTGGGGAGGTTCTCACACCGGGCCCCGTTCTGGCACGGGTTCGGGACGCAGACTTCCACGTGCAGCTGAGGACAAAAACAAAGACAAAGATCCTTCCCCGTATATGCTTAACAGACTGTTGGGGCAAGTGCTGTTAGCGATCACCTATGAAGGCGATGATGGGCTGAGTCAAACTGCCATCTGGGATTTGAACTCGCAACCTTTCCGATTTGCGAGCCGCTCGCTCCGACCGCCGAGTCACCCGGCCATCAACCCAGATCTGTGCCTGATCCATCGCATTTTCGCAGACAGCGTGACGAAAAAAAAGCGGAAACAACATCACGGGTAGACAATTAATACGGACGAGACAAATTAATTAACATGATAACTACTCGTGCATGCTTGCAACGGTGTTCAGAAGATAACCTAGAGAGTTGGGGATAGGGCAAAATATATATATTTTTTTAATCAAAATAAATAAAAATCATTCCAATATCAGTAAGAGAACTGAGCGTTTTTTTTATGTATATATCAGAGCAGCACATTTTACATATAAATTCAATGGCAGCAGCTGATTTTAACGAAAGTACAAAACCACTGGATGAGCATCAAAGCATTTTTGAAAGCCTCTTTAGAAAGAGGTGCACAATGTGGCTGTGTGAACTGTTGGTGTGTGTGCACACGCTCGAGTGCTGACATGGGCACACGCACACACAGCAGAGCGGATGGAGGGCAGCCCACCGTGGGTCAAAGAATTTGGCCGAAAGTGAAAAATGTAAAAAAACAAAAAATCTGTTGATAGGTAAACTCCTTTGTCAAGGCGCTCTGCTCCTCCCACCCAGTTTAAAAATACGCCGCCAAGCTTAGCGGTGTTCATTGGAGCGCTGTCTGTCAGACAGCTGTTTCTTCACCTGAGGACGGCTACTTGCGTTGTGGCCGGAACGTCGTGAGAACTTTATTATATTATGGTTTATGTTTGTTATTTTATTATTTCCCTTCTACGTGACTTCACCAAAAGAACCAATAATATGAATCCCTGCAGTCACGAAAGCTTTAAATCGAAATAAAAAAATTAAACCTCAAGCAGATCAAACGTGCTCTCAAGGTTGGAGGTCATCAAGGATACCAAGCGTCACACCTCGCCATCACCACTCTCCTCCTGCTCAATGCAAAATTGAGACCCATCATTAACAACTACAAATACAACAATTTTTATTATGAACTACTTGAGAAATTAGAAGTTATCTGTCTTAAATTATACTTCTTATATTCTTAAAAATTATTCTACCCTACTCTTAATAATTCACGTTTATAATTCTTTCGGTTAACTGTTAATGCCCACTGTTCAGAGTGCCTTCATTGGCATTCCATGAGATTCATAGGGTTCTACTCCTGAACTCGTTTTGCACCGCAAGTAGTCAACCGCGCTCATCGGCGGTGCGGAGCATAACTCCAGTGGCTTTCTAATCTCTGATGGTTAACCAAAAGCCGCTGTGAGGATAACCGAAGTTCGCGTGATGGTCTATGCTCCTTAACAAGATCAGCAAGGTATTGTGGCTCATTTGTGGCAAGCACTTTGCGTGTAAAGACTGTACAGGTTGCGCTGCTGTGGATCTCCACAGCGTGATTGTTGGTCGTGCCGTGCGTTGTTCGCCGCGATGGTCCACGCTTCGCTACACGTGCCGGGAACTTCCTTCGGTCGGTTCCAGAAGAAGCCTCCGGCACGTGCGGCGAAACGTCGGACATCACGCCGAACAAAGCCCATGGCGCAGTCCGAACACACGTTGGACAGCTGTTCTCAGGGTTCGTCATCAACGCCAGAGCCCGGCGGACGCAAATCCACGGCATCTCTGGGATTCGCAGGGCTCGATGTGCGTGCAACACCGGTCTCTATCAAAAGCGACGCAGCCGTGGGCGCGCGGACGGGGATCACGCGGCAGCTCGCTTCGAGAACAAACGCGGCGCTTACTTGGCAGCTGTCGCCGGCAAAGCCGTCCGTGCAAACGCAGTAGTAGGAATCGATGGCGTCCCTGCACTGGCCGCCGTTGAGGCACGGGCTCGCAGCACACTCGTCCGCCTCCGTCTCACAGCGTCTGCCCGTGTAGCCCGGCTTGCACTCGCAGCTGTAATCGTTGGTCAGGTCCTGCGAGAGTGGAACGACGTCGTACGTCGTGGACGCGTGAAATATCCCCGTTTTCGGTGTCGTCGACTTTGCATTCGCTTCGTTTCGGCGGTGTTTCGCGATTGTGTTAAACCATCGCAAATGGAAACGTTTAATGGCAAAGTGCCGCAGTATTTAAAAATAAAAATGAATTCTGCGTAAGTATCTCCGTGAATGCACGTTTCAAATAAAAGGTACGCTTTCCGAATAACAGTGTCAACAAGAGAAATCAATACAAATAATGTATTTAAACTCTGCTTGTTTGGTTAAGGTTATGATTTGTGGTCTTCAACAAAAAGTAGTCCAAACAGACAAACAAATTTCGATAGAAAAAAAGACTAAAAAACAACTTGTTCTTAAACTGTGGACAAAGCCAACGCAACTCCAGACAACTTAAATATTAACAATGTTTTCATGTTATTTTTTTTACATATACATTGAGTGTCTGGGGTGGCACGTACTCATTAATAGGGAAGCTAAATTCACGGGGCATTTACAAACGCTGTGAGCAGTAAGCTGCAATAGAAGTCTTTACTCTTAACCATTACCGGCGCCCGTAATAACAAGCGCATGTATAATCACTGAGATCAAGCTGCAGAGGCAACAACCCACAGCTCTTGATATGATATGCTCCCACAACAAATACAGTATAAGACTTGGATTGCAGTCTAAACACACGTCAAGTCTCATATCCTAAGGCATCGGCGCCCAGAAGACGATTCATTGTAAGTGAATGCACACGACGATGAGACAATGCAATGAAATGTCTTCGGAGGAAGTGTGTTTGTGGGTCGGCATTTACCTTGCATGCTCCTCCATTTAAGCACTTCCCCTCACAGTCATTGACAGCTGGTGAAATGAAAATCGTTACTATGATTCCTAAAAATCTGTCTCTAGGCAGGCAATAGAGGGCACACGTGCATTAGGTGTGTTGCACATTTGCGATGCACTAAACATTGGAGACCTCGACATATCGATGTGTCGTCTGCGACTTGTTGTATGTGCATTGCTTAACCAATCAGTTACCAGTCATGAATAGCTTGAGAACCCATCATACTCAAATTATGAATATTCTCCAAACGTTCGTTATGAATGTGGGGTGATCAGTGTACAATAAAACATCTATTGGGCAGCATGAACAAATTAATCAATCGACCATATCGAGTCTCAAACCGGGTTCACCGTCATTCAATACCCCCCCCCCCCCCATTTGTCAAGGCACGTGTTTGTGGCTTGGAGATGTTGCGATGAGGTTATGGCCACAGGAAAGAGAGGTAGAGTCAAATTTGTTGGTGGGGGGGGGGGGGGGGGCTGTTAAATGACAAACACTTTCAAGGTCATCGCGTCACTTGGCACAGAATCCAGAGGCGAGTGTTTGTCAAGCGCAGGCCTTGAATGAGGCCATGGCTCGAACGGCCCAGTGTCGCCACGGCGTTGTTCACGGAGCACTCCAAGGGAAAGCCACCGCTCGCCGGCAGAGCAACCGCACGAACAACACAAGACGCCGGTGCGCGCAGCCGGAGCGTGCACATTCACTGGTGGGATCCATTTCGATTTAAAGCTTTCGTGACTGCAGGGATTCATCTTCTTGGTTCTTTCGGTAAAGTCACGTAGAAGGGAAGTAATAAAATAATAAAAATAAAACATAATAAAATAAAATAATTCTCACGACGTTTCGGCCACAACGCAAGCAGCCGTCTTCAGGTGAAGAATGAGACACTACCAAGCTAGGAGCTTAAGAATGAGACACTACCAAGCTAGGCGCTTATATATAAGCTGCGTTGGAGGTGGAAGAGCGCCTTAACAAAAAGAATGTGCATATGAAGAGGAATTTAGCATATTCATGGAAAATGACTTTGAAACCCCCCCGCCCACCTCCTACGCATTTTCCATGAATATGCTAAATTCCTCTTCATATGCACATTATTTTTGTTAAGGCGCTCTTCTTCCACCTCCAACCCAGCGTATATATAAGCTCCTAGCTTGGTAGTGTCTCATTCTTCACCTGAAGACGGCTGCTTGCGTTGTGACCGAAACGTCGTGAGAATTATTTTATTTTATTATGTTTTATTTTTATTATTTTATTACTTCCCTTCTACGTGACTTTACCGAAAGAACCAAGAAGATGGTGGGACACACTTGGTGTTGGTGTGCAGTGTGTCGGCGACACAGGGAACACACCCAGGCTGATTCTGCAATCCTGCCAGGTGGCTTCTTGACACTGTGACCAACTGATGAATTGGACAGTTGCAAGCTTTAAATCCCCCTAAAGGATCCCAGTTTCTCTGTCATCATTCCGGGGCTGTTAAAAATGAGTACACCACTGCTCTGTGTGGGAGGGTGACAGTGCAGGCTGATTCTGCCACGGGACTTTTGACTGTCTTCCTGGGAATTGGTCGATTTATTTCCAAGTATTTTGTACGTGGGAGGAAATTGGGAGTATCCGCAGCGTGTCAAGGAAAATAATCTCCACAGTTAGGTCAAGGACCTACTTTCGATTCTGCCTTGCACAGTCATCTATCAGAATGTTGAATTACATGCGTGTGCCACTACACCTGACAGACCAGAAACCCAGGATACAATCAGTTTGGCCCAGACATATCAAGACTGGAGCGAACATTCGATGGGCTTAGAGCATTAAAATAAGATAGCGACTCCATTTAAAACTTATTAGTTTCATAATAGTAAACAATGAACCAGAGTTGTTATCTGCACACAAATATTATTATTGTAATATCTGCCAACTAATTGGTTTAATAATAGTAAACACTGAACCTGAGTTCTTAGCGAAAGTTTAAATAAAAATTACTTTACATTGCCGTGGTGAGGCCTCGTCCCGTGCAGAGCCCGAGGCCTCGCCTAGATTGCCCAGCCGGTGACACATTGCCAGGCTGGGGGCTGGGCCGCTACCCACGGCCCCACTAACTTGTTCATTTAACTACTTTAAAGTTTACGGATGGGAAACGGAATAGCCTATACCCACCGCGGGACTTAGGGCGTGCTGCCTGGCAATTTTTTTTCGACGTTAACCTCACCGTTTGAGAGACAAATCCCTCGCAAGCGCGCGTGCGCAGACAGACAGACGGACAGACAGACGGACAGACAAAAATACTTTTATAGGTTAGATAGGCAATACATTTGGAATGTTTGGTCAATGTTGATTCAACTGCTCAAACCACGTGACAAAAGTTGGCTTGAGGTTGCACGTTATACTAGGCAATTGGGTTGAAAGAATAGCATTGATTTCAGCGTCTATCGAAATGCACGTGTGTTTTTGTTTGACACCGATGATGCACGTGGGCGTGGAGGAGAGAGGTGAACCTACCAATGTCACAATTCTGTCTAGTCCACCCGGGCAGGCAACCGCAGTAGTAGCCTCCGAAAAGGTTCTTGCAGAAGCGCGCGTGAACGCAAGGGTTGTCATCGCACTCGTCCTGATCTGTGAAAAGGCCGACGCGCAGCCACCGCCAACGTCACCTTCAAGCACGCAAAGCGCTCACTGGGAAGGAAGGATTCCTTCGCACCTCCTTGGGATACGCAGGTGCGACAAGCTTTGATAGGCGGCATTATGAACTAATTTTATTTTTATCAGGTAAGGCCCTCTGAGTTACACAGCTCTTTTTCAGAAGCGGCCTGGCCACAAATGATAGCTCAACAAAGTGGCTATCGTGTGGTCATTTATAGCAGCCAGACACTCTAAAAACGCACGTTGATTTTAAATGTGAAAGGGGTCCACGCGACCATGGGGTGAACATCCAAACTCCAAATATACACCAGCAGGCATCAGGGTTGGGATCGAACCCACAAACTCCTGTATACCAGGCGAGATAGTTAACATCTTGCGACCGTGGCATTAACTTTTCTGCAGCAAACATGTTGCGGGCTCCCCCCCCCCCCCCCCCCCCCCCATCCGGGCACACGATGCAATGTTAACTTTCGCATTGTTCAAGCTTCAAGCTGGCTGGCAGAGGGTCATACTCACAGTTGCAAAGTTGCGAGGCGAAAATATCTGCAAAGGGGTCAGCCCATAATCACCCACAGAGGGTCGACAAAGCAGGCAACTTGTTTTGGTGAATCAGCAGCGGCTGTTGATGAAGTGATTGGTCCCCGCCATGTGAATGTGGAATTTATCCCGCAGGCTCCGGATCTCCAATGATGATAAGCCCCACCCCAATTTGTCTAGTTCACTGTCCTTCCCTCTGGACCTGTGATTAGCGAGGTTGACGCTGTATGGTGCGAAATAAGTTCAACAGACATACAATGACATTGTTACCGACGAGACACTTGGCGCTTTGAGCATTATATTCTAGATGGTTCCATGAGCCTTGGGGCATTGGCACCGAACCTGAAGAATACCAACAGTGCCCCGGTCAGGCCTCCGGGAACCAAATTCATTGACGCTGAGCCTTCAGAATCCTCAAAGTGCCGACGACGATGTGAGCTCAGACAGGCGTAGAACTCGTGGCACTGGACGTCACCCACCCAGGAGACAGGTGTGCCCCGTCCACTGTGGAGGGCACGTGCAGCTGAACCCGTTCACCAGGTTGAGACAGGTCCCTCCATGACCGCAAGGGCTCGACGCGCACTCGTCAATGTCTGTGGGCGAGAGAGAAAGGGACGGCTGTTCATGAACATTCAAAGCACTGCATCTTGGATTACGATGATGAAATCAGTGGCATGACAAGGTAAAGGTGTGGTTCTAGGTGCCACGGCGGCGAGATGCTAACTCCTTCACCTGGTATGCAGCAGGGGGTTCATGGGTTGGATCCCAACCCTGACGCCTGCCGTGTATTTGGGGTCTACGTTTCGTTCTCCCCGTGGTCACGTGGATTCTTCTCAGGGTCCTCCGGTGTTTCCCCTCGACATTCATAAACGTGCGTTGAGAGTATTTCACTTGATAAGCCACCTCGTTGAGTTACCATTGGTGGCCCAGGTCACCTCTGAAACAGAGCTATCTAGCTCAGTGGGTCTTAGCTGGTACAACAAGAGAAGTTGTTTATAGTTTTAGTTTACATGCCCCCTCTCTATGTGGCCAGATTCTCGCCATTGTGCCCCCCCCCCCTTGCCTGTGCCGCTCACCACCGAACCCCCCCCCAAGACGTTTGGCCATCGTTGAATAAAAAGTCCCAATGGCCCTCGACAGGGACTCAATGGAGCTCTCCTGAGTGGGAGGCCCTTCCACAAAGCAGTGGTGTGAACAGGCAATTGCAGGCCTGCACCTTTTTCATGTTGACTTGTTACTAAAACAACCTGTTGTCATGTCAATTGTGATCAATCAGAGTTCTAACGATTGGCCCCGACTGAATAATGATTTGTCGCGATTTGTTTTAATTAAAATCCATCACGGTGAATGTAGCGGTTGTCCAGTGGCGGGATGGGTCACATAAACACATCATGTAGAGTGACACACATGCCCGTATCATGAAACGTATCGATGTGCCTCCGGGTGGCACGTAAACATTAACCCCAATCCCTCCCCTGCGTACTGAACCCCACCCCGCTCCCCCAACATCATGTTGGTCGTGGGGGAGTTGTGACCGTACTTCACCACACTTCTCAGTGTGCGTTGGTGAAGAATGGTGGCCAGAGCCGGTTCGGACATCACTCGCCATTGACGTTGGGGAATCAAACTCGGCGCAGCACGTTAACCACCGCACCACCACTCCACCTTTGATAGAAGCACTAAAAATACAGAGTATATTTTAACATAGTATCACTTGACACGCTATGCTGTGAAGCCGCTGACGTGCGTTCGCCTCTCAGTAACACAGCTAACATCAGTGGCAAGTGATAGCAGAATCAGTCCTGGGCCCCCATCCCTCTCTCACCAACCCATATTGATTGGCATGGCAAAATATGGTTTAAAAAAACCTCGTGACTGATATGGTGGATTGATAAAGGAGGGAAATTGTTGAGTCGTTATTTTGCTTTAAGACTGCGCGCTCCGATAATGCAGCTCAACAATAATGCACGGTGGCGTCTCAACTATCGGACGCTTAAAACATAATTTGTACATTTGGTATTTATACCATTCAGTGGGGGGGATGTTTTTGTGTTGTAATCCCAATTCATCAATTTGCAGGCAAATTAGAAAATGTGCACAATCACGGTGGCACAAAATGTGGCATGCCCTATGCGACTGACGTCATGGAATCGTTAACGTCCACTGTGAAGCAGACGGCGCGTGGTATTGCACGGTTGTTCAATCCCGCAGCGGTAAACCAGGGCTGCCCACCAGGTTCAACCCACGTACGACTGCAAAGAGCGGCGACCTCGCTACGGGCTGAGCGGTCATTGCGGCCCCGGATCGAGGCCGGGTGATGCTTTCACGCAAAGTCTGGACATCTTCGCAACAGTGGCTATTGGCTAACCATCGAACAAAGACGATCACCGCATCGCGGGCTTTCAGATGTGCTTCTGCGGTCGTCTGGAACGCTCTTCCTTCCGATATTAGCAAGCCACTGGAGCTATGAACTTTCAAAACTCACTTCTTTAGAACAGTTTTTAGTGTTCAGTTTGTTGTCCTTGCCCCGCACCTCCGATGAGCACAGTTAGCTACGTATGTCTCATACAGAGACCCACAGACTCACACAGAGACCCATAGACTCACACAGAGACCCATAGACTCACACAGAGACCCCTAGACTCACACAGAGACCCATAGACTCACACAGAGACCCATAGACTCACACAGAGACCCAAAGACTCACACACAGACCCACAGACTCACACAGAGACCCATAGACTCACACAGAGACCCATAGACTCACATAGAGACCCATAGACTCACACACAGACCCACAGACTCACACAGAGACCCATAGACTCACACAGAGACCCACAGACTCACACAGAGACCCATAGACTCACACAGAGACCCATAGACTCACACACAGACCCACAGACTCACACAGAGACCCATAGACTCACACAGAGACCCATAGACTCACACACAGACCCACAGACTCACACACAGACCCATAGACTCACACAGAGACCCATAGACTCACACAGAGACCCATAGACTCACACAGAGACCCATAGACTCACACAGAGACCCATAGACTCACACAGAGACCCATAGACTCACACAGAGACCCATAAACTCACACACAGACCCACAGACTCACACACAGACCCATAGACTCACACAGAGACCCATAGACTCACACAGAACCCCATAGACTCACACAGAGACCCATAGACTCACACAGAGACCCATAGACTCACACAGAGACCCATAGACTCACGTAGAGACCCATAGACTCACACAGAGACCCATAGACTCAAACACAGACCCATAGACTCACACAGAGACCCATAGACTCACACAGAGACCCATAGACTCACACAGAGACCCATAGACTCACACAGAGACCCCTAGACTCACACAGAGACCCATAGACTCGCACAGAGACCCATAGACTCACACAGAGACCCATAGACTCACACAGAGACCCATAGACTCACACAGAGACCCATAGACTCACACAGAGACCCATAGACTCACACACAGACTCATAGACTCACACAGAGACCCATCGACTCACACACAGACCCATAGACTCACAGAGAGACCCATAGACTCACACAGAGACCCATAGACTCACACAGAGACCCATAGACTCACACAGAGACCCATAGACTCACACAGAGACCCATAGACTCACACAGAGACCCATAGACTCACACAGAGACCCATAGACTCACACACAGACTCATAGACTCACACAGAGACCCATCGACTCACACACAGACCCATAGACTCACACAGAGACCCATAGACTCACACAGAGACCCAAAGACTCACACACAGACCCACAGACTCACACAGAGACCCATCGACTCACACAGAGACCCATAGACTCACACAGATACCCATAGACTCACACAGAGACCCATAGACTCACACACAGACCCATAGACTCGCACAGAGACCCATAGACTCGCACAGAGACCCATAGACTCGCACAGAGACCCATAGACTCGCACAGATACCCATAGACTCGCACAGAGACCCATATGCTCACACAGAGACCCATAGACTCACACAGAGACCCATACTCTCGCACAGAGACCCATAGACTGACACAGAGACCCACAGACTCACACTGAGACCCACAGACTCACACAGAGACCCATAGACTCACACAGAGACCCATAGACTGACACAGAGACCCACAGACTCACACAGAGACCCATAGTTTGTCGTCCTTCCCCCACACCTACCATGGTTGGCTACGTACGATGCGCGAAAGAGGTTCAACGTACACATACGTGCGTGCGCTCTGTGCCGACCATCGTGGCAGTTGGCTCCGGTCCATCCCAGGGCACAGAGGCACTTGAAGCCCGAGGGCGACCCCACCCCGGAGCCACCGTTGGCGCACCACGTGTCGTCGACTGGCAACAACAGACGAGAACGATGCCACGGCCCGGCGAACAAACCCGCAACGCCGGTGGGGCATCCCGCTCGATGCAACTTGAATTCGTGCATAAATTCCCGGACACGATTTCAAGGCACCTGGAAATTAACGAGGCCTCTCCAGTGCAAGCAGCGGCACTCGAAACACATTTACTATCCATAGGCGGTGCTCAACTGCACGTGTGACGTGCTGCACATAGCGTGCAAGCAACAGGTCTGACGGATAATCCAAAGGCGCAGGAACTGGATCGCTTCCCCGCTGCAAGTTAATCGCGCAGTTTCACAACGCCTCTGTCAATCCACTGCTGGATGAAGTTCCTCACCATTACATGTTGGTCGTAAGCGAGCATACTTTCACAAGTTTGGTGAAGGTTATGTATTCCAGGACTGCTTCAGACATTATAAATCACAGGTATCAATCTCACTATTACTTTGCCTTATAGTACATTTCAGAATTGAATGATGATAACTGGTCGTCGGTTGGTGACAATGCAGGGCCTTTATCTGTATGTACGTACGTTGAACTTCTTTCGCGCCGTACGTGGCCAACCGTGGCTCAGCGGAGGTGGGAGAGTGGTCACCGAAAGGTGGAGCTGATGGCAGGCGGTGTTCCTCAACGACAAATTTCACGTGGACAGTTGCTGGTCGCGTGGCCAAACAAAAAATACAAAACAGCCACCACCGTGTGCCAGCCACACGATCACTGACCGGCTCACCGGATTGGCCCGAGATTGCACAGTGGGAGATGGTGGGGGGTGAGGGGATCCGAACTGAAGCACAATTCGCCAACGTGCCAACAGGTGCGCATTGATAAAAACCCACCCCACGCACACGTGGCTATCAAAACGGTCAGCCGCGGTCCGCTCCGGGTGCCAGGGCTGTTTATTTGAGGGGCGACGCGGGGGGAGCGCTGCCAGGCTCGACGTGGGGACGCTCCACGCGCCGCGAGAGAGCACGCGCGGAGTCTCGCCCGACGGTTTCCGCCGAAACTCACCGATCTCGCAGCTCACGCCGTGGTAGCCCTTCTGGCAGTCACACTTGAAGCTGTCCGGCTGCACATTGGAGCAGCTGCCTCCATTGCGGCACGGCTGGTGGTTGCCACAGTAGTTGAGGTCTGGGAAGCGGGGAGATTTGCGCGCCGATGAGACCGGTGGTCCGCGCTTAATTACCAGCGGGTGTGCAAGGAAATGAGAATGCACTGCCGGCGATTGTAAAGAGCAGCGATGCTAACGGATTTGGGAGACCGGTTTGTCGTGAATTCCAAGCGACAGCTTGTTGAGTGAGCATCATTGTCAGCAATCCTAGCCACTGATTTGTGTGTGTAGGTCACTGTTCATCACATGAGTACCTGGTGCGGTGTGTAGTAAACATTGCCACCAGGGGAGACAAAGGTGGCCGGGTGTGGTGCTGGCCACCCACCCCCTTGTGTGCTGTGCTGGCCTTAATAGGTGCTCGCTAACAGCACTTGCCCCAAAAGTCAGGTTAAGGCTATTGGAGGGATCTGTGTGTGTGTCTATACACACACACACAGACTGACAAAGACGAGGAAGCTGTATTTGAGGAAAGTTTAGCTGGCTTTTGAAATATGCAGCAGCCATTAAGGTTATTCATAACATTCAGAATGTCACGAGCAGAAGCAAGACATTCAATCTCAGATATCTACATCCGTCGCACACAAAGTAATCCCGCACTTTGGGAGGTTGGTGAATCGTGCAGAATTCATGGAGTGCGTGAAAGTCACCAACTACGGCAGCTATTAGAAGACAACAAAGCAAGTAGGTCAGTTGCTTGCATATCTGTAACAGAGTTACGAGTGTTTTATCCGACCGTGAGTGTACGCATTTTCTGCAGGTTCTTCCATTTTCCTCTCCCTAATACAACAGCCACAAGGAACAGCAGAGACCTTCCTGGATAATTATCGAACGGCTCCTGACCAGCGTCGCAGCGGTTGGCGCCCTGTGCGCTGAATCATGAACACCTTCACAAAAGCGATGTTCTACCTCGTGAGATGAGACAAAAGCGATGTTCTACCTCGTGATGTGTCACTAAAGCGATGTTCTACCTCGTGATGTGTCACTAAAGCGATGTTTTACCTCGTGATGTGTCACTAAAGCGATGTTCTACCTCGTGATGTGTTACTAAAGCGATGTTTTACCTCGTGATGTGTCACTAAAGCGATGTTCTACCTCGTGATGTGTCACTAAAGCAATGTTTTACCTCGTGATGTGTCACTAAAGCGATGTTCTACCTCGTGATGTGTTACTAAAGCGATGTTTTACCTCGTGATGTGTCACTAAAGCGATGTTTTACCTCGTGATGTGTTACTAAAGCGATGTTCTACCTCGTGATGTGTCACTAAAGCGATGTTTTACCTCGTGATGTGTCACTAAAGTGATGTTTTACCTCGTGATGTGTCACTAAAGCGATGTTCTACCTCGTGATGTGTCACTAAAGCGATGTTTTACCTCGTGATGTGTCACTAAAGCGATGTTTTACCTCGTGATGTGTCACTAAAGCGATGTTTTACCTCGTGATGTGTCACAAAAGCGATGTTCTACCTCGTGATGTGTCACTAAAGCGATGTTTTACCTCGTGATGTGTCACTAAAGCGATGTTTTATCTCGTGATGTGTCACTAAAGCGATGTTCTACCTCGTGATGTGTCACTAAAGCGATGTTCTACCTCGTGATGTGTCACTAAAGCGATGTTCTACCTCGTGATGTGTCACTAAAGCGATGTTCTACCTCGTGATGTGTCACTAAAGCGATGTTCTACCTCGTGATGTGTCACTAAAGCGATGTTTTACCTCGTGATGTGTCACTAAAGCGATGTTCTACCTCGTGATGTGTCACTAAAGCGATGTTCTACCTCGTGATGTGTCACTAAAGCGATGTTCTACCTCGTGATGTGTCACTAAAGCGATGTTCTACCTCGTGATGTGTCACTAAAGCGATGTTCTACCTCGTGATGTGTCACTAAAGCGATGTTTTACCTCGTGATGTGTCACTAAAGCGATGTTTTACCTCGTGATGTGTCACTAAAGTGATGTTCTACCTCGTGATGTGTCACTAAAGTGATGTTTTACCTCGTGATGTGTCACTAAAGCGATGTTCTACCTCGTGATGTGTCACAAAAGCAATGTTCTACCTCGTGATGTGTCACTAAAGCGATGTTCTACCTCGTGATGTGTCACTAAAGCGATGTTCTACCTCGTGATGTGACTCTAAAGCGATGTTTTACCTCGTGATGTGTCACTAAAGCGATGTTTTACCTCGTGATGTGTCACAAAAGCGATGTTCTACCTCGTGATGTGTCACTAAAGCGATGTTCTACCTCGTGATGTGTCACTAAAGCGATGTTCTACCTCGTGATGTGTCACTAAAGCGATGTTCTACCTCGTGATGTGTCACTAAAGCGATGTTCTACCTCGTGATGTGTCACTAAAGCGATGTTCTACCTCGTGATGTGTCACTAAAGCGATGTTCTACCTCGTGATGTGTCACTAAAGCGATGTTCTACCTCGTGATGTGTCACTAAAGCGATGTTCTACCTCGTGATGTGTCACTAAAGCGATGTTCTACCTCGTGATGTGTCACTAAAGCGATGTTCTACCTCGTGATGTGTCACTAAAGCGATGTTTTACCTCGTGATGTGTCACTAAAGCGATGTTTTACCTCGTGATGTGTCACTAAAGTGATGTTCTACCTCGTGATGTGTCACTAAAGTGATGTTTTACCTCGTGATGTGTCACTAAAGCGATGTTCTACCTCGTGATGTGTCACAAAAGCGATGTTCTACCTCGTGATGTGTCACTAAAGCGATGTTTTACCTCGTGATGTGTCACTAAAGCGATGTTTTACCTCGTGATGTGTCACTAAAGCGATGTTTTACCTCGTGATGTGTCACAAAAGCGATGTTCTACCTCGTGATGTGTCACTAAAGCGATGTTCTACCTCGTGATGTGTCACTAAAGCGATGTTTTACCTCGTGATGTGTCACAAAAGCGATGTTTTACCTCGTGATGTGTCACTAAAGCGATGTTCTACCTCGTGATGTGTCACTAAAGCGATGTTTTACCTCGTGATGTGTCACTAAAGCGATGTTCTACCTCGTGATGTGTCACTAAAGCGATGTTCTACCTCGTGATGTGTCACTAAAGCGATGTTCTACCTCGTGATGTGTCACTAAAGCGATGTTTTACCTCGTGATGTGTCACTAAAGCGATGTTTTACCTCGTGATGTGTCACTAAAGCGATGTTCTACCTCGTGATGTGTCACAAAAGCGATGTTCTACCTCGTGATGTGTCACTAAAGCGATGTTTTACCTCGTGATGTGTCACTAAAGCGATGTTTTACCTCGTGATGTGTCACAAAAGCGATGTTCTACCTCGTGATGTGTCACTAAAGCGATGTTTTACCTCGTGATGTGTCACTAAAGCGATGTTTTACCTCGTGATGTGTCACAAAAGCGATGTTCTACCTCGTGATGTGTCACTAAAGCGATGTTCTACCTCGTGATGTGTCACTAAAGCGATGTTCTACCTCGTGATGTGTCACTAAAGCGATGTTCTACCTCGTGATGTGTCACTAAAGCGATGTTCTACCTCGTGATGTGTCACTAAAGCGATGTTCTACCTCGTGATGTGTCACTAAAGCGATGTTCTACCTCGTGATGTGTCACTAAAGCGATGTTCTACCTCGTGATGTGTCACTAAAGCGATGTTCTACCTCGTGATGTGTCACTAATGTCGGGAAGTACGCTAAACATTTTGAACAGACACACATACTCACAACGTTGCCTTTTATATAAACGGAGATTATTATTGTGCATGTCCCAACAGCTGTACTCACTTCCGATAAAGTTGACGGCGATGCTCGTCACATCGATAGATATACAATTATGATGATCATTATTATACGAAGCGCTTCCCCCCCCCGCCCTCTCACCAATAATAAGCACTGACCAGTGTTGTGAAGTATGGTACAACAAAAAAAAGCCCCCATAACTGGCACGGTGGGGGGGCCTTCACCCTTTGGTGGCTTGAGAATGGCTGGAATTTTTTATTGTTTCTTACAAGAGCCTGGTCAAAGGTACGAACTCAGTGCTCCTGGGTTCTGGGGAAACGGCTGGAATAAAATGTCAACGCAGGTTGACCATTCACATTTTGCGGAATCGTACGCTAAGCGAAATTGATGAACGGGAGGGGGGGGGGCCATGCTACTAACCTTTGTCGCAGAACAGGCCACCCCAGTTGGTGTGGCATCGACACTCCCAGGGATTGCTGCAGCTGCCGTGTACACAGCCTGTGTATGGGATGCACTGGTCACAGAAATGGCCCTGCCAGCCATACTGGCACCTACAGGCACACGCGCGCAGACAGAGACCGCCCGTTTAGCCTCAACAGACTGTTGGGGCAAGCGCTGTAAGCGAGTAGCACCAATGAAGGCCGGCACGGCACACGAGGGGAGTGGGTGGCCAGCACCGTGCCCGGCCACATTTGTCTCCCCTCTGGCGCTGTTCACACATTGCAACCAGGCAAGAGGCCGAGTCGATTTAGGGGAGGCCCAGGACCGGATCAAATAATCGTCACCGGTGTTGGCCACGAGTGGGTCGTCGGGTTCGTAACGCAGCTACACTATCGCTCCCCACACACACGCACACACACAAGGGCAATGGCATGGATTCTGAGTACACACGGTACTCTTTGCAACTCATTTGCAAATAACATACCAGTATCTGCTTTGAAACTGCCATCAGGGTTTTCAGTTGTTAAGCGCAGGACGTCCTCTGACGTGTTTCCGAGTTGCGCCGCGCGCCGTTCTACACGACGCCCAGCGTGTCGCAACCACACAGGACAGAGTTTTTTCAGGGCAAGCAACGTGGTGCGAAACGTCGGACGCCGTGCCGAACTCAGCACCTCCAATTAACACAGTTGGCTACGTACGGTGCGAAAGAAGTTCAACGTATGTACGTACCAACAGCACGCGGGACAACCCGGAAATGCATCGGAGGGCCGCCATGGCGGCACAACCGCTAAATAAACTGTGCAGGAAGTAGCACACTTTTGTCTAAAGCAATGGCATTTATTCGAAAACGTCCTTCGTAATTAAGGAATTAAATTGCTTTATCCATCTCGGAGAAGTGACAAGCCACTGGACTCACTTGCAATCCCCTGGATTGTCACACTGCCCATGCTCGGCGCTGCATCCTTGTCTGCAAATGGCTGAAAAAAGAAAACGGACACAAAAGCAGGTTCGACTGTGTTCACACAAGACTGACGAGACTAAGCAGACATTAACAATGCCACTGGACAGGGAAAACAGTGCACTGAGTTGTGAGGTGTTTACTCTCATATGCTAGTCAGAGCGGAGACAGCGTGCACACGTGTGTGCACACATGCGCACACGTGTGTAGATTTGTGCAAACAAAGGTTTTTTATTTAATCGGTTTCTCTCCCCCCCTACTGTCGAGGCCTACTATACACTACACTACTATACACTATACACTACACTACATGCTACTATACACTACACTACTATACACTACACTATACACTACACTATACACTACTATATACTACTATACACTACACTATATACTACTATACACTACTATATACTACTATACACTACACTATACACTACACTATACACTACTATACACTACACTATACACTTATATACACTACACACTACACTACACTATACACTACACTACACACTACTACACTATATAACCTCGTGCCACGGCAGATCTCTCGCCTACTTCAGCAGTTTTTTCTCGCTGTGGTTGTCCCACCTGATGACGATTGCTTGTGTTGCGATCGAAACGTCGTGATCTATTATTTTGTCTACCTATGTGACTTTACCGAAAGAACCAAAGAGTACGGGGTTTCTTTGTATCATTGGCAGGCTCATTAACTTAATTTACACGTTCATAAGCATGGCTATTGTGAACAACAAACATTGTCTGCTGTTGGAAGTCAGTGGCAGCAGGGATGAGCGCATTGCCACTATGATTCTAGCAAACCTGAGTTCAATTACGGGCCGATTTTTTTTTATGTATTAAAACGCTAATGCAACAGCAGGCACATCTAACTCTTTTGTTCATTATTCGTATACAATAAATGTGAAACTATATCTAGTGAAGCACTTCCATGTCTTCACAATACCATCGGCTTTCATCAAGAGACCCACCAGCCCATGCCAGATCACGTGGTCATATGGAGGCTGTACAAGTCAGAGCGAGTCCAGGTGTTTCCTAAGCACATTGTAAGCAAACGTGCCTTGTGAACGCTCCCTTGCAGATGTAACACAAATCCCAGTATGGCATTAAAACTGCATGCCCTCAAATTAACCTCCCACAATAGTCCGTGGGCATGATAGGCGAACACATCATTGGTCAATATTGGTATTAGCCGCTGCAGACAGATACACCTGTGTGTGTGATTCAGCGGACGTGTATTTGTCACGCCTCGGCACTTAATCACCAATGGCGGACAACAACAAAAATCGAAACCCATCACGTAAAAAAAACATTTCAATAGGCCTGGCCTAGCCCAACTCGCGTGTTTAAACGCCTATAAATGTGCCGGATGAGTGGCACGCGGGCACACCCTCGTTGGAGACCGTGAAAGAGGTTCGTCTCACATTGGGAGAAGGCTCGGGTCTCTTCCAGGACACCGCTCGCTTGTTGCGTCACTCTAAACCTAAGAACGCCGCTGAAGAGGGGACAAGAAGGGCGACGGAGATGCCACTGAGGCACGGGTTAGGGAGCAGAGGAGGGTGAGATGGGAGGGGTGTGGTGGAACCAGATTCGAGGATAGTGAGTGTGACTGGAGAAGATGCGCAGAATAGAAGCACTTGGAGAAATCAAATGCGAGTAACCAACTCCATGCAAGTCTATGGGTCTCTATGCAAGTCCGTGGGTCTCTACGTAAGTCTGCGGGTCTCTACGTGAGTCTGTGGGCCCCTTTGCAAGGACAGCGGGCGTGACTCCAGAAGTGGCACGAAATAGAAGCACACGTACATGGCAGAAGAAACACGTCGAGTAGCCGACCGACGGCATGCGACAACGACGACAACCGGCGACGATAATGGCACGGCGACGATTGGACTTGGATCAACCTTCCTTGCAGTCGCCACCCGTCCAGCCCTCGAGGCAGACCACGTTGCCATTGGATTCGCACGCGTAGTGGCCGAAGTAGTCGTCGCGCGGTTTGCACAGCCGTTTGCAGTTGGTGCCGAAGTAGTGCTCGTCGCACAGCACCCGCAGGCGGTAGTGCACCCTGACGGCGCGCGTGCCCACCGCCGAGTGCTCGTGCCACTGGTCGCCCGGGTTGATCATGCCCGCGTGGGTGACCCGCGTGATCAGCTGCGCGTCGGACCCCGTGCTGCTGCTGCCGCTGCTGCTGCCACCGCTGCCACCAGGGCCACCAACTACCGGGGGAAGACGGACAGAACGTCGACGACGACAACAACGGGTTTAATTCGACGGTCGGGGAAGGCGAGAGGTGTGCTGGGCCGCACCGCATCGAAGCGGCTTGGTCAGGTGCGGTCAATAAGGCCCCACGATGCGAAATGGCACGTGGGGAGAGGCCTGAAGCGAGCAGTGGATTAGGAACAGGCTGGGAAATTACGATCACCGAGTCCTGGGTCACAAAAAGTCTCAATGGCCTTTGATCATCATCATCAACAGCCACAGTCAATCCACTGCTGGATGAAAGCCTCCCAAAATTGCTGCTACTTTTCATCAACCTATGATGCAAATAATCCGCTTGTCACCTGCACAAGAGCTGATTTCATCAGTCCGTCTGTACAGTCGATGTCCTTTTGGATGGGTTCCATCTCTTAGGGCCCACTGCATCATTATTCTATACCATCAACGATCGACCCCTTCTCGCGACAGCTTTATTTGCCCAAGCTAACCTGGTTCTCACCTGGTCATAAATAAAGAGTACCTACCTGGCTAGAAGAGTCTCAGGGCTCAAACGAGCGTGCGAGTTAAATGGCTATTTGTACCCACACATGCAATTTTATTCTGTGGTCGGATTTGCACAGGAGTTTCGATAATAATGTGGCATCAGATCAATTATTTCATTAAGGAGTGACTTTTTCTCATGAAATACTCTGCTGAGAAATGACAAAAGCCCACACCATGCATGTGCCTGGCACTGCACTGCTCCACCGATAAAACAGAATGTAGGTGATGACCAAGAGGACCTGAAACCCACTCAAATTCATATTTAGATAATGTGGGCTCATGCGTCTTTATACATCTGGACAACCCTTCATAGATATGGAACTTTCAAAGGTAGCTAGCTGGATAATTGTTAAATGACTCCAATCATTAATATGTGAGTAAAACCTTGCACTCAAGTCCACAAACACAAAAAATATGCAACGTTTCAAGTGCTCGTCAATAAAATATTGATACCAAATTCAATAATGCGTGATATGAAAAACATATTGTTAAAACAACATACCTGCTAAAGTTGGATTTTTATTTTCATGCGTATAAAGTTTTTTTGAGAAAACAACAACCTGACTTTATTGTCCGAGTGTGCACAATAATTTGCGCGGTGGAATTTTGGAAAAATCTAATAATAATGTATTTGCCTACCTGCACCTGATTCTAGATTTGAAGTTTTCATGACTGCAAGGATCCATACTCTTTGGTTCATTCGGTAAAGTCACGTAGGTAGGTTCCAGCTCCGCTTGCAACACAAGCGGAGCTGGAAAGGAATTCCATCCCCGCACGCAAGCACGTCAGTTGTGTTAATGGGGGAGATTAGGGAGAGAGAGAAGCCAGACCCACACGTTAACAAGTTAGATGTTAACAAGATTGTCATCAATCAGATTAACAGCCCAATTTCCGATAACCTAAAATCGGTACTAGCTCGAGGGCTGAACTTTGCAGTCACTCCCCAAACACGTCCCAGTGGATGATAGCATTGCCCAGGTTGACGTGGCCCTCAAAAGTTTGGGTCCCATCCCAGCGGACGTGGCAAGATCTGAAATCACCACCATCCTCAAAAACGCTTAGAAACCCATTAGTAACATCAGCAGGGACGAGTGCTCTGAACTTAATTGAAAAAGAGAGATGACATTGTCATCCTTTCAGCCGACAAGGGCAGTGCCACGGTCATCATGGATAAAACCACATACAACAACAACAACAACAAAATCCAGGACCTTCTTAATGATAGCAGTTATACCAAAATCAACAAAGATCCTACCAACCGCCTGGCTATAAAAAACAACAATATCATCACTAATTCGACTTCTCTAATCGAACCGACCAAGCAGCTCTCTCTAAAACCTTCAGCCGCTAGACCACCCAGATTTTATGGCCTTCCAAAATTCCATAAAGAAGGTCCACTCCATCCTATCGTTTTCAACATCAACTGACCTACGTACAAACTGGCCCGAATTCTGTCTGAGACCCGGCTTCCATTCACGGGCAAGACCACCTCAGCAGTACTTAACTCAGCTCACTTGGTTTCTCTAATCAAATACATTTCACTGGCTCCAGATGATTTGCTTGTCAGCTTCGATGTAGTCTCTCTGTTCACCAAGGTTCCTGTACCTGACACCATAGCAATCATTGAAGACTTGGTCCAACAGGAACTGAATCCTGATGTACCAACTTTGGTGAGGCACTGCCTTACCAACACTTACTTCATCTGGAATGGTACATTCTACAAAAAAAATAAGGTACCCCTATGGGTTCTCCCTTATCACCAGTGGTAGCAAATGTTTTCATGGAGAAATTTGAAACAGATGCCATCCTGACATCCACCCTACGTCCTTCCCTGTGGAAGAGATACGTAGATGGCATGTTCGTCATCTGGCCACATGGCCAGCCGGCACTAAACCAATTTTTCAACCACATCAATTCCATACATCCATCCATTAAATTCACCATGGAAGTGGAAAATGATGGCAAGCTACCATTCCTGGATGTTTTGATAGAGAAGAGGCCTGATGGCTCGTTGGGACATTCCGTCTACAGGAAAGCCACCCACACGGATTCCTATCTAAAGCCTGATTCCCACCACCATCCGGCCCAGAAGAACTCTCTCATCAAAACACTACACCATAGGGCCCGTTGCATCTCCCACCAGCGCCACCTAGCCAGTGGACTGGAGCACGTACACCAAGCCCTCAAGGTGAATGGATACTCAGACCGCACAATCCGCAAAGCTGTATCCCCAACCATGGGGAGACAACCATCTGAGGACCCAATCAAAACCATCACCTTGCCATACATAGCAGGTGTTACCAAAAAGATTTCCAATACAGTACACAAAATCCGTGATTTTATCCCATCTGTGAAGGATGTCATTCCTGACATGCAATACCCTTGGTGTCTACAAACTATGTTGTGTCTGCGGCACCAGTTACATTGGGGAAACGAAACAACATGTCTCGGACCGTGTTCGCGAACACCAGGCAGATTTGAAACACGGCAGAACCAATACCTCTGCCGTGGCTGATCATTGTTATAATGCAGTGGGCTCGCACGATATTGTTTTTTACGAGACCAAGGTACTCTGCAAACCTTCGGGTTACCATAAAATATGTATCCAGATTTATAAACACGGAGACAATTTCAACCGAGAGGATGGGTATAAGCTGAGCAATCATTGGAAGGACGTTATTAACCAAGCAAAGTCGTCACTTGCTGTGGTGCTTCCAATCGTCCCTGCCGTTTGGCTGTTATCTCCAACTCTCTGAGTTGCATTGCCCTGTTGGGTGCCTCCGCATTAATGGGCTGGGGTCTCACTAACATGGCCCCCTCTGCTCCCTTAGTCTCGATGTATCGATGGTTCTGGCTGCTGTGTGATGGGCTGTGTGTCTCACTGGCGCGACCACCGTTGCGGTGGTTCCCTTGCGTGGACGCGCTTGCCTCTCACAGCGCAGTTGGAAGCACCGCAGCTTGTGTTACACATAGACATGACATTCACTTGCTAATCCCCCTAATCTCTCTGCCGAATCTCTCCCATCAACACAGTGCTAATCTCCCATTAACACTGCTGTTGTGCGCATATGCAGGGACGATACTCTTATGCGGTGATGGAAGCTCATTTCATGCGAATCTCTCCCTAATCTCTCTTTCCATAATCTCCCCCATTAACACAACTGACGTGCTTGCATGCGGCGATGCAATTCCTTTCCAACTCAGACTTCTTGTTGTAACAGCCCTCTCGCCGTGTTCTTCCTGGTTCAGCAGTTCAACTGCTGGATTTAATTTTTTTCGCCTGAGGACGACCGCTTGTGTTGCCATCGAAACGTCGTGATATATTATTTGTTATTTTATTATATTTTTCTACCTACGTGACTTTACCGAAAGGACCAAAGAGTACTCAAAGACGCTATTAAAATGCTAATGTCCACGTGGCGGGGGCATGTTGACCCTAACGCGTGCACGCTCCGACGATTTCAAGGTAACGCGGGCGGCACACCGAGCGCAGAGCGAGCGCCCCGGCGCGCGCTGGTGGATGTTGGCACCGTGCATTCACCTGCAGCAGCAGCAGTAGCAGCAGCAGTAGCAGCAGCAGCATGGGCGTCATTGTCGACCACCTCCAGGATCAGCACGTACTCCCTCTGCAAGACGAGAGCAAAGACAAAACACACGCGCTCGAGTGAGGACCTCCCGCCCCGGCATTGCCATGTCAAGGTACAGTTTAAAACGGAGCTGACGGGGAGGGCCTCTGTGGCACTGATGAACCGCTCTGGACGGTGTTAGGGCCTTACTCTTCCATGCGGGACAGACGTCTTGGGTAGAGATGGTATTAGAGCCACGCTTTATCCAACCGCATGCGGCCTGCCGATTGATATGTAGGGGTTGTTACGGGGAGCAAGGCGGACAGAAACACAAGGGTGTCTGCACCCACACGCGGGTGTCTACACCCACGTCCGCATCGGTTAATCCTGGGGGGGGCCATGGGGGCTCTGTGATCCCCCATAGCCCCACCCCTCGGAGAGGATTCCTATAAAAGGCGGGGAGCCAGAGGGCTCGGGGCCAGTGTGCTAGAAGCTTACCAGAGAAGACTGAAGACTGGCAGAATAGGCCCTGGGACTCCCCTGGCTCGCTGTCCTTGCCAGGGCCGAGCTGGGCAAGCCAGTGGCGCGGCCCCAAGAGCTCCAGGACCGATGCTCTTGTAAGAGCACGGCCTGGTTAGCTGGGTGCCGGGATCCGTGCTTGACCAGGGCCGGATCAGATAGCCTCCCCTAGCACTCTTAGTGGAGGACTGGGAATAGGACAGTCAGGGGATAGTGCTAGGGGTGTTTCCCATTGAGTACGGGTGAAGGGGCCATTACCCCTTTAAGTGTTGTTATCGCCTTTGGTTATATAAACGAGTGTGCCTCAACTACGTCGTCTGTCTCACTGAGAATTCACTACATCTGGCGTCAGAAGTGGTAAAAAGAAACAGAATGGATACGAGACACACACACACAGCTGCAGTGCATATTGTAGTAGATTCGGCATCAGTACCCTGGCCACAAGGAGTGGTGATACCCTGGAAACACTCGCTGCGCAGAGGCGCAACGCACCGGTGCCGATTTCCAAAATGGAGAAGGGAATGAATGAATGAACGACCCCCTTCCTCCCTCAGGTGCGCTATGACACCACGGAATCGCGAAAGACGGGAACGGCTCGGCGAGGCTTTTGATCCAGCTGGGGATCGTGCACGGCTGCCGATGATCACGATGACGATGACGACGACGATGACGATGACGATGACGACACGGTGCGCCGTCTAGTGAGACGCTGGAGCTCGCACACACCCCGCGACGCACGAGAGAGACGTCCGCTGCGCTCCACAAACACAAAGGCCCCCCCCCCTCCCCCCCCCCCCGACGTATAGCCTCAACAGACCGGTGGGGGCCTGGCGCTCTCCGCGAAGGCCGGCACGGCACACGCGAGGGTTGGGTGGCCACCCGCCTTTGTCTCCCCGGCGGTGACGATGTTTGCACACCGCGCCAGGTGCGCATTTGAAGCCAAGTCGACCTAGGGTAGGACCCGGGACCGGTTCAGATAACCGCCACCGGTGTTCGCCGCAGACGGGAATGGAACTCGGCTCGCCGGGTTCCTGCCGCGGCGTAGCGCTAACGACGTGAATGCAACACCACGCCACGCCTGTATCGCATTCGTCAAAGCATCATCGTGAGCGTCGCCGCACGGTCGCGTGTCGCGATCGGCCTCGCTGTGCAAAATGCGCACGAAGAGACCGCACGGGACAACGCCGGCCTGTCAAGACGTTGATTCTCGTTTTTTTTGGTCGGTCGCAAAAGGAACCGTGGCTAAAAACAGAAGGCCCCCCATTTTGTTTTTAGCCGCGGTTCCTTTTGCTGGCAACACCGCTGCCATAACGAGGCTCTCAAATGCAACAGCCCAAAGCGGTTGTTCCATCGGGGGCAGCGTTACTGCGCTGACAGCTGCGCCGCCACCGCGCCTGTGAGTCGAGCGTGCTCGCAAAGAGGATGATGGATGGGAGTCGTGGGTTCATTATTGATTCTGATGGAGAGGGGGGTGCTGGTGCTGGGGTGGTGGTTTAAGGAGGTGGACAAAACTGTTCGCTCCTTCAGTGCGACTCATCCCCAAGCGAGTCCCCATCTTTATTTCGCCTGGGGGGGGGGGGGGAGAAATCCGATGAGCTGCGAAGCTCTTATCCAGTATGGGGTGGTGGAGTAGGGAGGTGGAGAGTCGAGGCAATGCATCACACCGCCCCCCCTTCCTATCGCGGTGGCGGCGGGGGGGGGTAGTAGTCAGGGTATAATGCCCAAAGACTCACAACTTTCGTAACTCGTGAAGCGTGGTGTGCATCACACAGCTTGGGCAAGGTGTCAGCCAGCAGGCACCACGCCCAGCCGACTTTGTCTCCCCACTGCCGATGACGATATTTACACACCGCGCCACGCATTCGTTTATGGCCGAGCAGACCCAGGCGAGGTCCTGGACCGGCTGCGATGTCACGAATGATTGGCCGCTGTGCGGCCGCTACCCCCAAGCCCCACACACACGAACACACGGGCCCCGTGGATTGTCAAACGCTGATTGCGTTTGCCCGAACGGCGAGTGCAACTGACATGAAATGCTATTCTCATTTAAGGCTGAGTCGACCTAAGGGTGGTCCGGACCGGTTCAGAGATACGCCACTGCTGTTAACACACAAGACTCATCCGTGTGGGCGACACAGACTGCCGGGGGTAAATGTTTGTTCTTAATCACCTGTGAAGGCTGGGACAATGCCCGGCCGCCTTTGTCTCACCGGTGATGACATCGCACACCAGGTGCAGTGCTTACGCATGGCCCAGTTAACACGCACGGACATCTTATCCCCGTGCATCTTACATCGGCTGTTTGGGGCCAGTGCTGTCGGCGAGAACCTATTAAGGCCAGTAACTACGCTGGACCGCCTTTGTCTCCCCCACGCGCTGACGTTTACACGCGGCACCGTGGACTCGTTCAAGGCCGAGTCGATCTGTCCACGCGCACCTACGAAGGCCGAAACTGTGACCGGCCTCCTTCGAAGATCACGTCGCAACAAACAGCTCACGCGTGGCCCCAGTCGAAACGCGTGCAGAACAACAACAACACCAACAACACGTGCGCACGATCGCACGCGCGCGGACTCACCGGCCACGCGAACTTGAAGGGGATGGAGATTCGCCCCGCGCGCTCGTCCCTGACGTTGCCGAGCAACGTGAAGTTATTCCCTCCGATCACGGGGGTCGAGCCGTTGCCCAGCACGCAGGGGCCGCTCTTGCCGAGCAGGCTCGACGCCTGCTGGTACTGCCGCAGGCACAGCAACACGGACGTGCGGCACTGCTGCGGGCAAGCCGCGCCGGCCCGGGGCCTCTCGCCAGCGCAACATTCCCCGCTGTGGAGTTCCCCGTGCGCGTTGACGAGCGACACGAGTTGGAACTCGACGTGTCCCGTGCACAGCGCCATCTCAAACGGGCACAATGAGAGGATGGAGATAGAGAGAGGGGGCGGAGAGACAAAGGCGGACGCGTGGGCGAAAGGATTGTCTTGTAAAAACATCCCCCAGGTTCATGGGACCTCCTTTGCCAGTACCAAAATATGGGAATGTTTTCCTCTTTTTTCTGGCAACAAAACCAGCTGTGTTAAGATGTTAAATCACCAAACTGAAACCTTTTACAAGGAATCATGTCACTGCATTAACCACAATACTTGTGGTCAGAATGCAAACAAAAAACACACTCTGATAATATATAATGGATTGTCCTTGAAACTGATTGGTCGAGGAATTGGTCTAGAGCAGGCCGGCCATGTGGCCAGATGACAAAAGTGTCATCTACGTACCTCTTCCATAAGGTCGGGCGTAGAGTTGCAGTCTGGATGGCGTCAGTCTCAAATTTGTAATGCTTAATACAATGTATAAGGTAATATATAGTATCGTAATTGTATAGTGGATATACAGTAGGGTGGGTAGAATAATACATAGTGTAATATTACAATGTATAGTCGAAGGTATAGGGTGGTGTATAGCAATACAGTATGTAATTTAATGTTGGGTTTGTCTATGGCAGTATATAGTACAGGGCAGACCTGTGTGATGTAAGAGAAAAAAGTTTAGCTGGAAGCATATTATATTTTTTGCAACATAGAATTGTAATGTATTACTTGCTGTTAGTAGCTCAGCTTATTGTAGAGTATATTTAGTATACTGATGATACTATGTAGTTTATACTTTAGTTGTTTAGGTGGTTGTTTAGTTACTGCAGCTACATACTATTAACATTCCTTCCCTTTATTAATGCTACTCCTATCCCCTCCCTTTGATGCTGCTAATCCTGCATAATGCACGGGCATAATATGACTTTGAAACCCCCCGCCCACCTCTTACGCATTTCACAAATAGTACTAATCCCATATCTGCATTTCCCATAAATAAGCTAAATTCCTATTGATATGCAAATTCTTTTGTCAAGGCGCTCTTCCCCCTCCAACCCAGCTTAAATATACGCCCCAAGCCTGGGGTGTTTCATTCAGACGCTGTCTTCCCGACAGACCTCTTCTTCACCTGAGGACGGCTGCTTGCGTTGTGGCCGAAACGTCGTGAGAATTATTTTATGATGTTTTATTTTTATTATTTTATTATTGCCCTTCTACGTGACTTTACCGAAAGAACCAAGAAGATGAATCCCTGCAGTCACGGAAGCTTTAAATCGAAATACATCAGTTATTATATAACTGGTAGGAACCGACTGGTTCCACCAGCCCACAGGGGATTATTGTGTCCGTCCGTCATGCAGTGAGGGGCTGGGTGGGGAGGGAGGGGCTGGGTGGAGAGGGGCTGGGTGGGGCTGGGTAGGGAGGGTGGGGAGGGGCTGGGTAGGGGAGGGGTGGGGCTGGGTGGGGAGGGTGGGATGGGTGGGACTGGGTGGGGAGGGGCTGGTCACCCCGTGGTGCCCTTATAAAACTCAACGTTTAACCTACTCACGCCGGCTTGTGCCCGCCCTCACAGTCGGCCATATTTGTGGAATACACCACGCCGCCGTTGACCCTGCAGGCCATAGACCGAGCAACCCAACGTGTTCCTACCAGCTCCCTCCGCAGGAATGTGTTCATAATTAGCAGCGTAGGCAACGCTGACTACGTCGTGTTTATAAGACCCGGTGCTTACAATCGGGAATGCCGGAATCGCGGTTATTGATCTCGCCTAACGTCGCCCTTTAACAGGTTCCCAGGATTCTATGACTAAAGGGTGCAATAACGCACGCTCGCTATTGTACTCTAGTGGTAGTGCCTTACGCCAATCGATCTCGCCTACTCCATGCACGCCACCCCTCTTAACAGCGTTCCGGTGGAGGGGAGATGATGATGATGATGGGGTGGGCGGGTAAATATCGAGCGTTAAAATATCAGCTCCGATGATATTTTTTGCTTCTCGAAGTGACGTTTTCGTGACTGCAAGAATTCATACTCTTTGGTTTTGTCGACACACTTCAGCAGTAGTGCTTTCGCTGCGTTGTCCCCGCCTGAAGAAGGACGCTTGTGTTGCACCCGAAACGTCGTGATTGAATTTATTGTAATTTTTCACCTACGTGACTTTACCGAAAAAAACAACGCGTTGATTTTTTGCCATCAGCGATCGCGGTGTTTTGCGTTGCAACGCTCGACTCATCCATCTCAGTTGACAGAGTGATACGCAACGAGCCCCCCCCCCCACCCTGTGAGCTTCTCGTGCCGCGTGCTGACACAGCAGCAGCAGCAGGCGAGTGATGATGCTGCAGAGGCGAGCTCGGGGTGATGACTCCACTACGCGCTAACCCCCCCCCCTGCCACCGTCTCCACTCGAATTGACACAGAGAAGGAACAAGTGTATCCCCCCCCCCCAAGCCTCCTCCAACATCTTCCCGCCAACATCAAAACATCAATGGACACGCGTGTTACACGCATGTCCGGTACACGCCGTAAGATCATGGCAGCAAAACCCTCGTGCGCTCAAATCAGAAGTGCGGCGCGATCGGCGATGTGGCTGTGAATGCTTCAGCCCCGTGTGGTGTGGCGCTAACGCAAAGCCACCGTTCAAGCGAACGGCGAGAGCAGGCGGTGATACGCACAACGCAACAACATTCAACAACCTCATCATGGGACCTCCTTTGCCAGTACCAACTTATACTAATAGGGTTTTTCCCCTTTTTTCTGGCAACAAAACTGACACCTTTTGCAAGGAATCATGCTTACATTAACCACAATACTTGGCGTCATCTGGTCGAACACCATATGAGACGAGGCTCTAAAGAAAGCTGTCTCTGGTGTGGACCAATCAGTTTCAAAGACAATGCATACATTACCAGAGAATTGTTTATTGTTTGCATTTGACTGCAAGTATAGTGGTTAATGTGAGCATGATTCCTTGCAAAAGGTGTCAGTTTTGTTGCCAGAAAAAAGGGGAAAAACCCTATTAGTATAACATTCAACAATATCTGCCAATCAACATCCATCGCCTCACCTTTGCTACAGACGCCACGAGGAAGGTGGCGAGGGTCACAGTGGAACGGCGGCGGTGGTGGTGGCGGTGGTGTCCGTAGTCCATGGTTGCGGCGTGCTGCGGGTGTTGGTATCGCTTCCCGGTTTCTTCCGTTGCTGTTGGTACGCAGGGTTTAGTCTCCTTCTAATGCCTCTCTTTCTTTCTTCGACAAAATGTTCTCGTCCAAAACGCAGCGAGAGAGAGAGAGAAGCGGACGGAAATGAACGCAGTCGGGGATGGAGAACGGCTCCCTCGCACCTTCTCCACGTCGCCAGCGCAGCCTGTCTGGAGCGAGTGGGAGGAGGAGGGAACCATCATCATCACCATCACTATCATCATCATCGTCACCATCACTATCATCACCATCACTATCATCATCATCACCATCACTATCATCATCATCACTATCATCACCATCACTATCATCATCATCGTGACCATCACTATCATCACCATCACTATCATCATCATCATCACCATCACTATCATCATCATCACTATCATCATCATCGTCACCATCACTATCATCACCATCACTATCATCATCATCATCACCATCATTATCATCATCATTACCATTACTATCATCATCATCGTCACCATCACTATCATCATCATCACTATCATCATCATCGTCACCATCACTATCATCATCACCATCATCACCATCACTATCATCATCATTACCATTACTATCATCATCATCACCACCATCATCATCATCATCACCACCACCATCACCACTCACCATCACTACTCACCATCACAACTCATCATCACCACTACACCATCAACCGACCAGGTGAGAATTACAGCATTGGCACCCTGATTACCACCACCATCACTGCAACAACCACCATCATAATCATCACTATAACCGCCACCGTCATCATCACCACCATCTTCACCACCACCACCATCACCATAATCATCACCATCATCACCATCATCACCACCATCACCACCATCATCACCATCACCATCATCACCACCATCATCATCACCATCATCACCACCATCATTCCCATCATCACCACCACCACACCACCACCACCCCCACACCACCACCCCCACCCCCACACCACCACCCCCACCACCACGACACCACCACCACCACCCCCCACCACCACCCCCCACACCACTACCACCACCACCACCACCCCACCACCACCACCCCCACACCACCACCCCCACACCACCACGACACCACCACCCCACACCACTACCACCACCACCACCACCCCACCACCACCACACCACCACCACCCCCACACCACCACCTCCACACCACCGCCACCCCACACCACCACCACCACCCCCACACCACCACCCCCACACCACCACCACCCCCACACCACCACCACCACACCACCACCACCCCACCACCACCCCCCCCCCACCACCACCACACCACCACCACCACCCCCACACCACCAACACCACACCACCACCACCCCCCCCACCACCACCACCCCCCCCACCACCACCACCACCACCCCCACACCACCACCCCCACACCACCACCACCCCCACACCACCACCCCCACACCACCACCACCCCCACACCACCACCCCCACACCACCACCACCCCCACACCACCACCACCACACCACCACCACCCCCACACCACCACCACCCCACACCACCACCACCACCCCCACCACCACGGCCACCACCCCCACGGCCACCACCCCCACGGCCACCACCACCCCCCCACACCACCACCCCCACACCACCACGGCCACCACCACCCCCCCCCCACACCACCACCCCCACACCACCACCCCCACACCACCACTACCCACACCACCACCACCCCCACACCACCACCACCACGACCACCACGCACGCTTTGTCATCTCATTTAGTTCGTTTCTAGTCGGCGCCACGCCACTCACGTGACCAGCGCGGTGAAGTGTGCCCAACGTCGCCCCCGTGCGCTGTGCGTGCCGACTGAATGGTGAATAGGGGGGTCACCTGAGGACACAGAAGCCGCGAGTCGATTCATCATAAAAGTTACCGAGTCGATTCCCCCATACAAGGCCATTGGAGTCGATTCTCCTGATATCAATCGATTCCGCAATTAGATCACTAAGTCGTTACCTCCTTCATGTAAGTCTATGGGATTCGATTCCAAAAATCGATTTCTACTAGCATGTGAGTGAGGGGGGGGAGGTGAGTGCGGGGGGGGTGAGTGCGGGGGGGGGTGGGTGGGGGGGGGTGAGTGGGGGGGATGAGTGGGGGGGGGTGAGTGGGGGGGGTGAGTGGGGGGGGGGTGAGTGGGGGGGGGTGAGTGGGGGGGGGTGAGTGGGGGGGGTGAGTGGGGGGGGGGTGAGTGGGGGGGGTGAGTGGGGGGGGTGGGTGAGTGGGGGGGGGGGTGAGTGAGTGGGGGGGGATGAGTGGGGGGGGGTGAGTGGGGGGGTTGAGTGGGGGGGTTGAGTGGGGGGGGTGAGTGGGGGGGGGTGAGTGAGTGGGGGAGGTGAGTGGGGGGGGTGAGTGGGGGGGGGGTGGTGAGTGGGGGGGGGGTGAGTGGGGGGGGTGGTGAGTGGGGGGGGGTGAGTGGGGGGGGTGAGTGGGGGGGGGGTGAGTGGGGGGGGTGGGTGAGTGGGGGGGGTGAGTGGGGGGGGTGAGTGGGGGGGGGTGAGTGGGGGGGGGTGGTGAGTGGGGGGGGTGAGTGGGGGGGGGGTGGTGAGTGGGGGGGGGTGAGTGGGGGGGGGTGAGTGGGGGGGGGTGAGTGGGGGGGGTGGGTGAGTGGGGGGGGGTGAGTGAGTGGGGGGGGTGAGTGGGGGGGGGGTGAGTGGGGGGGGGTGGGCGAGTGTGTCTATGTGTGTGTGTTTAGCAGCACTTGCCCCCACAAAGTGTGTGGAGGCTACACGGGGGAGCTTTGCCGGTGTAGTGAAGGATGTTGCGGGCGGGCTGGTCTGGTTTCCCACAGCCTCAAGATTGCACAACTTTGACAACGACTCGTCACGAGCGGGTGGTGCTGGTGGTGCTGGTGGTGGTGCTGGTGGTGGTGCTGGTGGTGGTGATGTTGGAAGGGGAACATCACCACTGGGGAGACAAAGGCGGTCGGGCGTGTACCCGTGATATAGGTACCCGCTAACAGCACTTGCCCCAACAGCCCTGCTAGAGGCTACCTGGGGGAGCTTTGTCTGTCCGTGACACTCTTAATTGGATCAATTAAGAGATGACAGACCACGTGATGTGGGCGTGATGACATCGGCCGCTGATGCAGGGCGACGTTTCAGGCGGTGGTCCTGAAAAAGGACACGCCCAACACACAGACAAAGCTCCCCCAGGTAGCCTCTAGGAGGCTGTAGGGGCAAGTGCTGCTAGTAGCGAGTAGCACCGCCTATGATACACACATAGACAAAGCTCCTCCAGGTAGCCTCTAGCAGGGCGGTAGGGGCAAGTGCTGCTAGTAGCGAGTAGCACCGCCTATGATACACACACAGACAAAGCTCCCCCAGGTAGCCTCTAGCAGGGCGGTAGGGGCAAGTGCTGCTAGTAGCGAGTATCACCGCCTATGATACACACACAGACAAAGCTCCCCCAGGTAGCCTCTAGGAGGATGTAGGGGCAAGTGCTGCTGGTAGCGAGTAGCACCGCCTATGATACACACACAGACAAAGCTCCCCCAGGTAGCCTCTAGCAGGGCTGTAGGGGCAAGTGCAGGCGGCCCCCAACAATGTAGATCTTACATATTGACCTTTGCCCTTAACACTCCTTACCTCAGCAAGTAGCAGTGACAAGCAGCGGCTTGATTGGCTCCCTTGACACTCATACATCTCAATCAAACACACTGAGAAGACTGACGCGGAGTGTGAAGAGGTGTTTCAGTAAGTTTGTTGTCAATGAAACAAATGTTAATGCTGTATAACGGTGATGCCGAAGCAAGTCAAAATATAGACGTTTCTGGCCCCCCATCCAAAACTTAGCAAAGAAAAAAAAACTGACAGCAGACGGGGTTTGGTCAACAGGACACATTGGCTTGGGAGAAATGAACAAAATGACTTTAGCCTTGGCTTGATACAATCATCGAATCGTTACATGCCTTTTGAAAATAATATGAAATTAGCATATTACAATAAAAGTCCACTGAGTATGGACTTTTAAATGACGTCACGCACCTGGGGGGGGTCAGACATTTGTGACGATGTGTGACGAGGGGGGGGGGGTGTTTGAGAAACTTTAAATATTTTCCCCTACAACATCAGAGTGCAGCGCCACATTAAACACGCACTACAATGACCATAGTCTAAAGCGATTTGAAGCGTGGGGTTTGTTTGTTTGTTTGGGGGGGTGGGGCAGAGCTTTGTGACGTCATATTTGAGGGGGGGGGTCTGACTTTTTGTGACGTCGTGTGACGAAGGGGGGGGGGGGTCTAAAATCGTCCAAAATCGCGTGACGTCATTTATGGACGGCCCCAAACACGGAGCAACAGCAGCAGCAGCTGTGCAAGGCGACACGCGCAGCGCGCGCACTGCAGGGGCAGGTGACGTCACCCACTTGCACTGTCGGGTCTGACGCATTTTAACCCCCCCACCCCCCACCTGCCCCCTCCCCTGCCCCCTCCACCCTCCATGCCCCCCCCCCCACAACCCCCCACCCCCCACCTGCCCCCTGCCCCCTCCCCTGCCCCCTCCACCCTCCATGCCCCCCCCCCACAACCCCCCACCCCCCACCTGCCCCCTGCCCCCTCCCCTGCCCCCACCACCCTCCATGCCCCCCCCCACAAACCCCCCCACCCCCCACCGCTCCCCTGCCCCCTCCACCCTCCATGCCCCCCCCCCACAACCCCCCACCCCCCACCTGCCCCCTGCCCCCTCCCCTGCCCCCTCCACCCTCCATGCCCCCCCCCCACAACCCCCCACCCCCCACCTGCCCCCTGCCCCCTCCCCTGCCCCCACCACCCTCCATGCCCCCCCCACAAACCCCCCCACCCCCCCCGCTCCCCTGCCCCCTCCACCCTCCATGCCCCCCCCCCACAACCCCCCACCCCCCACCTGCCCCCTCCCCTGCCCCCTCCACCCTCCATGCCCCCCCCCCCACACCCCCCACCCCCCCCTGCCCCCTGCCCCCTCCCCTGCCCCCACCACCCTCCATGCCCCCCCCCACAACCCCTCCACCCCCCCCTGCCCCCTCCCCTGCCCCCTCCACCCTCCATGCCCCCCCCCCCACAACCCCCCACCCCCCACCTGCCCCCTGCCCCCCCCCTGCCCCCACCACCTCCATGCCCCCCCCCACAAACCCCCCCCACCCCCCACCGCTCCCCTGCCCCCCTACCCCCCTCCCCTGCCCCCTCCACCCTCCATGCCCCCCCACCCCCCACCTGCCCCCTGCCCCTCCCCTGCCCCCTCCACCCTCCATGCCCCCCCCCCACCCCCCCCACACCCGTCCAAGCCAAGCGAGCTCCTTGATTGGTCTTCGGTGACGTCAACAAACCGCCAACTCCAACCGCCACTCGCCTGTTGCGACGGGTTCAGCAGCCCCGCCCCCATCCCTCGACGCGTGGGCCGCCTCATTAACATAATTTATTCAGTTGCGGGTCGCTCGTTGTGGGAGGAGCGTGGCTTGTAACCCGACAGTGACGTCATGTCACCTGCTGCTGCCGCGTGACGTCACGAGGTAACAGGAAGTTGCTGCCGCTGCTCCGTGCTTACTGAAATCCGAGGTGAGAAATTCTCATCGTCGTGGTTGTTATTGTGGTTGTTGTGGTGGTTGTTGTGGCTGTTTCTCTCTCTCAGGGATGTCAACTGAGTAGCAGCGAGTGTTGGAATCGATGTCCAGATTGGAACTTTGCCCCGCGGGGCCTTGCCTCCTGCCCTCGCCTGATGGCGTTCAAGTTTAATTCTCTCGCTCAAGATAAATTTGTCTTCACGCGGCTCGCTACTCTGTAACTTTGGTTCACTGTAGATATTAACGCAGTTTTTGTTCTTCGTGTTTGTTACCAGGCCAAGCCCGCTTGAGCTGCTGTACCGCTCTCGTTCTCAGAAGCGACCTGCCCACAACAACAACAACAACAACCACAACAACAACCACAACAACAACCACCACGAGGTGAGGCTTGTCAACAGCATGGCGGTGTTCACTCTGGACGCGGCACCGCGAGTCGGTGTCTGTGGGTCACAGGCGCTCAGCGCCGCGTGCCGCTGTTCACTCTGAACGAGTGGAGGGGGGCACTGCGGGGGGGGGGGGGGGCAGGAGGTAAATCCACGCCGCCGCCACGGGGAGAGGGAGAGACACGGGGAGCGCCTCGGCTGTGTCGGTTGATCCTCCATTCGTTACTTGGTGGAGTGACGCAGCATTAATGTCACCGCTAGAAACCTCCTGGTTCCACCAGCCCACAGGGGATTATTGTGTCCGTCCGTCCGTCCGTCGTGCATCCAGAAATGGGAGGGGTGGGGCTGGGTGGGGAGGGGCTGGTCACCCCGTGGTGCCCTTATAAAACTCAACGTTTCACCTACTCACGCCGGCTTGTGCACGCCCTCACAGTCGGGCATATTTGCGGAATACACCACGCCGCCGTTGACCCTGCAGGCCATTGAGCGAGCAACCCGACGTTCCTACCAGCTCCCTCCGCAGGAATGAGGTAATGGTGTGCTGGGTGAATAATCAAGAGACACACACTCACCCAAATGCAAACAAAGTTAAGAGCCCACAAAGACGCACACTTTGGCACGTAAGTTTGCCTACCACATAGCTTTACATTGGTGTGTGTATGCTCATAAGTTTACTCTCAGGCACGAATATACTGATTTTGTACAATCTACAATGGCCTATTGTGTGAGAACAATATCCCGTCTGACAATGAAACAAAGGCAGACTTTTCACAGACTAAGATGTCGACATTAATGATTTTACTCCAGAGTACTTTTTAAAACATGATTCAAAGTTTAGGTGTGTCTTTCCGCATTGCAATAATGGCACAAGTATTAAATGTGGGTGTTTGAGGTCATCTCGGCCAAATACTCCCAACAACTATGTCATACCCCACCCTTGAGGTACACTGCAAGGTCCAGAGACACGATGTCTCATATCCTGTGTTAAAGCCTTAAGGCAGACAACTGTACAGTTTGTCTTTATGTCCTACCAAATTATTTTATGAACGTAATACAAGGGCAGCAACAACACATCTAAAAACTGCTGTTTGGATTTCCTTGACTTAAATACAACTCTCCAACGATGCAAATGGCCATGAGCGGTTAGGAGAGCTTCTTTACCAATGCTGTTTATTGAATGAGTGTTGCAGTAAATCATCCAGTACTTTGTTGCAGTGCCACACCTGGTTCAGAGTTGCACCTGCCACTGTGACTTTGAAGTTCACGTATGAGTACCATTATGCACCTGTGTCTGATTAGTTTACATTTATATTGGCACCGAAGCAAAAACGGATGACAAGGGAATTCTAAAATGTATATTCATTGATGGATTTACCGCCAAATAACACTTCATGTAGTACTGTAATTTAATTACCCACCTTTTTAATCTGCTTCCTGAAAAAAGCTAGCGTTTTAGAATATCTTACATTTGTGCGTAAAGTACGAATAGCTTTTAGAGGACTTTTTTGTACATTTTCCACCATGCACATGAAAACCAGATGATTGGCCTTGCTTCTAATTCCTTCTACGGGAATGCTTTGAAATTGCATCATGGGTGTAGTAATGACTAAACCATACCAACCTCCATCTTTCCCCAATCTCCAGATGTATCAAATTCTCAGCATAGCAGGTCACGGCTCTCGGGTGAAAGCAGTTCCCCCAGTTGGTACAGGTGCAGCCTGAGGAAGGCTGCTGGCAATTGAACACAGTCCTATTTGTTGTACACATTCACACACTGGGTCTGAAGAAATTAATGGCACGAGGAGTGGGATTTAAGCCATGGCTGCATTCTCGGCACATACCGTAATTAAAATGTTTGCCCATATTTACAGACTTGTGTTGGTGAAAAAACCCCAGCAATCTTGGGCCAGATTGCTCTTTAAATCTGGGTCTGCAGCGTGGGACGGCACCACCTTAAGTATTTTTCAAACGAAAAAAAATCGGCAGTGTGGAATGTCCATGTGTTTGCACAATGGGAACGCTTGCCAGAGTGAACCTTTCTCCAGATGAACCTTTCATTTAAATTCACATTGCTGTCAAAAAGTATTTACAGAGAAATGTGCACCATGAAATGTGCGTAGAGCTAAGATAATGGCAAAGGAGGAGTTAAGTTTGATAAAAACAAGAGTTTTAAAATGATCTTTGAATACAATGTTTCTTTAACTCTTGAAAAATATACTTTTAAGCGGTACGAGATGGCACAGATAAGAGTGGGGATAAAAAAGGCACGTGTCTTTATCATCCATTTCCATTACATTAATTTCCATACTTGGTTCACTTAGAGGGTATTTAGACAATGTAGAGATGATCCCGATTCATGTAATTGCTTAGCTTGCTGGTATTATGCCACGTGTTTAAATTACTTTGTATTTAGACTATGAAATATATTTTCAACTCCATTTCTTGTTGTGGTACATTCATTTTCGTGAAGTACTTTATTCCGAAAACAATTACAAGAATAATTAAATATGTTTTGTTGTTGTTGCAAATCAGGCACTCTCATCCTGAATAACCGTTCAGCAGGAAGCGGAGAGTGGGAGTGTGCGCGCAGTGAAGGACAGTGGCCTTGAACAAAACCGCCGGCTACTGAAGAATATGTACAGCGTTGCCGACCTGCTGGCTTCCCATGGCTTCAGGTCGGGCAGGAGGCCGACATCCGGCAGCAGCAGCAGCACACAGCCTCCACTCCGGATGGAGCCGCCCCGGTCAGGGCTGGAGCAGGGGTTTCCTGGCCAGGATGTGTGGCACGACGCACCGCCCGCTCCCCGCGCCACACGTCACTCCAGCCTGCCACTACAAGAGCACCCCGCAAGGGCCGAGCCCTCCAGGGAAAGGGCAGAGCTCGTAAGTGAAAAGGCGAACTATGAA